GATCAAGCCCCATGTTTAGCTCCACACTCAGTGCAGAGTCTACTTGTCCTATTCCCTCTGACCTCCCCCCCACTCTAATTATCTCTAAAGTAAATAAATAAAATCTTTTTTTTATGAAAATGATGCCGGAAATGGACTCTTTCTCCTGAATCCTGATCCAGTGCACATTTCACTGGAAAATGGACAGTTCATTGATGTTCATGACCTAGTTCATGTTGGCTGTTGTCCAAATTTGGTGGTCAAAAACAGGACAGAGCTTATGGAAAACTACTATTGCCTGTTCTGTTACTAACTTAATACAAGAGTTACTGGAACTTATGTGTATTTACTGATCTATTTGGTAGAGCATGCTGTCTCTCATCTCATGGTCAAATTACAGAAAATGAAATGACTTGAAAACATAAAATAATGATAGCATTTGTTTTATAGTCCTATAGAAATCAGTAGTGATTGATGAAGTATAGCATTCTTTGTGACCCCAAACCTGAATTAGAAGCATGGAGAGGCCAGTAAAGAGGCTTGAACCCAAGAAAAATTATGACAAGGAAATGATGATTGTCACTGTATTTTTCCTATAAGGGGATAAGGCAATTAGAGGTGAGAAGGAAGAAAGTTTTTAACAATTCAAATTGAAAATGAATGAGGAGAAGGTGTTCCTAGATATTATGGGTGGGTAGTTTTAAATGTCAGTAAGTTTTCCTATAAAGTCATGTGAAGAAGAATAATGAAGAAGAGCTTAGCTTAATGTGGGAAGAGGTCTTTTTTAAACAAACATTGACATTTTGAAGACCTAGGGATCTTAAACAGAATGACTATTAAAATACAAAATTAGATTGAATAGAGGCATTTTGGGGATTATATATGAGTAGAATCCTGAGAGCCTGATAATGAATAATTCAGATAATCTGAGCAGTTTGGGCTGACTCACATGTTTTGGAAGAAGGTGTCATCAAGTCTCTGATTCTGTCAATGTTTTTCCCTTTGTTCCACCTGTTAGTGCCAAACAAATCCTGAAATTCAGGGACTTTTCCAGTTCCAATTTGTCAAAAAGACTTTCCAAACCACCAGTAGCAAGTCTAAGGGTTTTGTTTTTGTTTTTGTTTTAAATATTTATTTATTTTTTTAAGAGAGAGAGTGTTGGTGCACAAGTAGGGGGAGGGACAGAGGGAAAGAGAATCTCAAGCAGACTTTGCTGAGCTTGAGACCCAATGTAGGGCTCAATGCAGGACTTAGTTTGGGGCTCAATGAAGGGCTCAATCTCACAACCCTAAGATCATGACCTGAGCTGAAATCAGGAGTCACACACTTAACCAACTGAGCCACCTACGCACCCAACAAGTCTAAGGTATTGAAATATAGAGGCATTTAGTATATCTGAATGATACTAAGAAACACAAGCCACTTTGTCTGTAGTTTCATTTGTGAATATCTTCTCCCATTCTGTGGGTTGCCTCTTTGTTTTGTTGACTGTTTCCTTTGCTGTACAGAAGGTTTTTATCTTGATGAAGTCCCAAAAGTTCATTTTCACTTTTGTTTCCTTTGCCTTTGGAGACATGTCTTGAAAGCAGTTGTTGTGTCCAATGTCAACAAGGTTACTTCCCATGTTCTCCTCTAGGATTTTGATAGATTCCTGACTCACATTGAGGTCTTTCATCCATTTGAATTTATGTTTGTGAATGGTGGAAGAGAGTGGTCAAGTTTCATTCTTCTATACATAGCTGTCCAAATTTCCCAGCACCAATTATTGAAGAGACTGTCTTTTTTCCACTGGATATTTTTTCCTGTTTTGTCAAAGATTATTTGACCAAAGAGTTGAGGGTCCATATCTGAACTCTCTACTCTGTTCCGTTGGTCTATGTGTTTGTTTTTGTGCCAGTACCATGCTGTCTTGGAGATCACAGCTTTATAGTGAAGCTTGAAATCAGGCAACGTGATTCCCCCAGCTTTGTTTTTCTTTTTCAACATTTCCTTAGCAATTCATTATCTTTTCTGGCTCCATACAAATTTTAGGATTGTTTGATCTAGCACTTTGAAAAATGCTGCAGGAATTTTGATTGGGATGGCATTGAAAGTATAGATTGCTCTGGGCAGTATAGACATTTTAGCAATGTTTATTCTTCCAATCCATGAGCATGGACTGCTTTTCCATCTTTTTGTGTCTTCTTAGATTTCTTTCATGAGTGTTCTGTAGTTCCTCGAGTACAGATCCTTTACCTCTTTGGTTAGTTTATTCCACGGTATCTTATGGTTTTTTTTTTGTTTTGTTTTTTTGTTTTTTTTTTTGTAAAGACTTTATTTATTTATTTGACGGAGAGAGACAGATCACAAGTAGGCAGAGAGGCAGGCGGGTGGGGGGGAGCAGGCTCACCGCTGAGCAGAGAGCCCGATGTGGGGATCGATCCCAGGACCCCAAGATCATGACCTGAGCTGAAGGCAGAGGCTTTAACCCTCTGAGCCACCCAGGTGCCCCATATCTTATGGTTCTTGGTGCTATAGGAAATGGAATTGATTCTCTAATTTCCCTTTCTGTATTTTCATTGTTAGTGTATAAGAGCAACTGATTTTTGTGCATTGATTTTGTATCCTGCCACATTACTGAATTGCTGTATGATTTCTAGTAGTTTGGGGTGGGATCTTTTGGGTTTTCCATATAAAATATCATGTCATCTGCAAAGAGAGAGAGTTTGATTTCTTCTTTCCCAATTTGAATACCTTTTATTTCTTTTTGTTGTCTGATTGCTATTGCTAGGAATTCTAGTACTATTTTGAACAACAGTGGTGAGAGTAGGCATCCTTGTTATGCTATCCAAGATCTATAAAGAACTCCTCAAACTCAACACCCAAAAAACAGATAATCATGTCAAAAAATGGGTAGAAGACGTAAACAGACATTTCTCCAAAGAAGACATACAAATGGCTAACAGACACATGAAAAAATGTTCATCATCATTAGCCATTAGGGAAATTCACATCAAAATCTCATTGAGATACAACATTACACCAGTTAGAATGGCCAAAATGATCAGGACAGAAAACAAGTAGTGTTGGAGAGGATGTGGAGAAGAGGAACCCTCCTAAACTGTTAGTGGGAATGCAAGTTGGTGCCATCACTTTGGGAAACAGTGTGGAGATTCCTTAAGAAATTAAAAATAGAGCTACCCTATGACCCTGCAATTGCACTACTGGGCATTTACCCCCAAAATACAGATGTAGTGAAATAAAGGGCCATATATACCCCAATGTTCATAGCAGCAATGGCCACAATCACCAAACTGTGGATAGAGCCAAGATGCCCTTCAACAGATGGATGGATAAAGAAGATATGCTCCATATACACAATGGAATATTACTGCTCCATCAGAAAGGATGAATACCCAACTTTTGTATCAACAGGACTGGAGGAGATTATGCTGAGTGAAATAAATCAAGCAGAGAGAGTCAATTATCATATGGTTTCACTTACTAGTGGAGCATAAGGAATAACATGGAGGACATTAGGAGAAGGAAAGGAAAAGTAAATTAGGGTAAATCGTAGGGGAAAATGAACCATGAGAGACTATGGACTCTGAGAAACAAGCTGAGGGTTTTGGAAGGGAGGGGGTGGGGGAATGGGTGAGCCTGGTGGTGGGTATTAAGGAGGGCATGCAATACTGCATGGAGCCCTGGGTGTGGTGCATAAACAATTAATCTTGGAACACATAAAAAATAAAATTAAATTTAAAAAAAAAACACAAGCCAGGGCGCCTGGGTGGCTCAGTGGTTTAAGCCTCTGCCTTCAGCTCGGGTCATGGTCTCGGGGTCCTGGGATTGAGCCCCACATCGGGCTCTCCACTCGGCGGGGAGCCTGCTTCCCCCTCTCTCTCTGCCTACTGTGACCTCTCTCTCTCTCTCTCTGTCAAATAAATAGATAATTAAAAAAAAAAACCACAAGCCACATATGTGACTATGAAACATGTGGGAAATAGGAATCCCAGATAGAGCCTTGATAGGATAAAAATGGAAAAACCAAGATTGTGTTTGGTTTGTCCAAGATGGAAGAAGGGAGTCTTGTTACCCCAATACTGCCTGAATGATGTTTCCTGGAAGGTATTTTAAATCCACAAAGACTATCTGGTACCTATACTAGGTACCAGATGTATATGTAGGGAACATATAGAAGGGATACTGGCCTCTGTCCTAGAAAAGCTCACAGCTTATGTGGGAAATTGACATAAGAACTAAGTGGAACAGTTTGATATATTATAATACATCTAAGAGCAACATTTTGGGGGGGATGGGTCATGGAATTGTCAGTTTCTTACACCACTAGGACTGCGAGGTCCTCACAAAGGAGGCGGCATTTGGCTGGGCCTTGAAGGATGAGTTAAAGTTCTAAATATCTAAATAGGAAAAGCACTTCAACCAGAGGTAAGACCCACATATAGAAGAGAGAGATACTGGAGTACAGATGTTGGGATATGTCCAGAGAATGGTTAATAATCAGTCTTGTCACAAAATTGAAGACATAGAAAAAGATTAGTTGGGATTATGGGACACAAGATGTGTCCGATTGATGTAGCTCTCTTGTTATGGTTCACGTGACCTGTGTTTTGGAATTGTCCTAGTCTCGGGAATATGTCTCACCCCAAAACTCATCTTCATCTAAATCTATGATTTAGTTTCTTGGCAAAAGACCAATTTGGTGTTGAATAACAATGATCTAAGAAAAGCTTACAATCTTTTCTATATCTGGCCCTGTTCTCCTTTTCTCTCAGGTTGCTCAGAGTGCTAAGAATTTAGAGTGCTGAGTCTTTGATAAACATCTGTCAGAAATAATAATGAGTCATATGCACGTGCACACACACAGACACATACATACCAATGAAGAAATTTTCATTGCTTTTTGAAAGTTCAAATTTAACTGGTGTGTTGGAACTTTAAAAATATCATTCCCTTGAATGTTGCTAGGGACACTCAAATAAGAAAATAGATTTCCTTGACCCTTTGTTGTTTTCCCACAGGATTGAAAAAACGTACAAGGAAGGCCTTTGGAATACGGAAGAAAGAAAAGGACACTGATTCGACGTATGTACTTTGGGAGGGCACAACCGCTCAGCTGCAGCTGAGGGACCACACATGGCCGTGTGGAAACGCACATATGGGGTGGTCAGCTGCAAATCAGAATAAAGAGCCCATTAAACCCCTTATTTGGCTAGAATCCTCGAAAGAACGTTAAAAGATGGGGAAATCAATAGTTCTGGGGACACAGGTGAAACTGGAGAGCACTACCTTTATTTCTCACCTTTAGGTTTTCATTCTGTACATTTTTATCATGCATAAATTTGAGCACAAGAGCCAAACACTGCTCTGTGTCCTTGTCCTCCAAGAACTCCTAAATCGTGGGATAAAACAGCTACCATACCTAAGAAATATCTTTCATATAACAAAATGAGATAACATAGTTGAAATGCCTCATTTGGTACCCAGTCCTTAGTAAATGCTCAGTAAATGGCAGCAGACGCTGGTCTGATTCTTACTAATATGAATTAATATGTGGTAAGTTGCATATGGGCAATTAAAAATGAAATTTCATGGAAATTTGAGGGTAGGTAAATTCACGTTTGGGCAGATGATCAGTGGAATCTCAGAGAGGGATGAGCCTTGAGTTTGGACTTGGAGAAGATGAAGACAGGTATCTCAGGCAAAGGGAACAACAGCCAAAGCAGAGAGATGGGAAAGTCAAGTAGGTATTCAGGACAAGATAGCCAGGACTATTTGTCGACCTGATGGCTACAGGGAAAGGTGGGAATGGATGTCAAAGCTAAAAAGGACATCAGGAGCAGTTAGAAAGTTCTTTAAGAGCCAGGCTGAGGTGTCTGGGCTTCCTTCCTTAGGCAAGGGGCAATCTTGAAGCCTTAAAGGCTTTTAAACCAGACGGTGCAAAGAATTTTGTAAGGGGAGGAAGCTATTTGTGTGTGTGTGTGTGTCTAGATCTCACATGTTAAAATTTCCTGTCCTTTTGTTCATGCTTTTCTTTTGACAAATAATTATCACATAGAAATTACATTTACCCTAGCCCTGCAAATTTTTCAAATGATTGAATTAGGAATGTATTTCTGAGAATTATATAATTTCCAATACTTCTTAAGAAATTGTCATTGTCTAGGAATTAACCAGCCAGAATTGGGGATGGTACTTTCACCAGAAGCAGAAGACTGGGGCTCTCATTCCAGTGCTGCCCATAGCTCCTTGGCCTTTGGGATCGATTTTCCTTTCTTGGGCCTCAGTTTACACTACATGGAATCTGACTCCCCTAAAGGGCCAGACACTGTTCCAGTTCATCTCTCAGTGACATCTGTCATCACCTACTATGTGCCACGTCTTGTGTGGGACTTTAGTGGACACATCTCAGGAGAACATATTAGCAAACAACACTACACCATTTTTCTTTGAAGGCAGTGTCTGTAACAGATTACACAGTCTCTGCTGTGTGAAGAAGGTTCAAAAGGAAAAATAAAAATCTCCCTCAAAAGGGGAAAGGAATCATACAACCTCCCCAGGGCAGGCTGAGCTAATTTGCAAGTGGCCAAAGCATTGCTCTTCATCATCATTTCTAAAGGTGTGAAAATAAGGAAATTACTCCTCAAAGCTTTGGGTAGAAACCCCATATCTCTCTGAAGCACCCTCTCAAGACATGTGTTTGTAAAATCCTAACCATCTCTTCTTAACTTCTTATCATTTGAGCCCCCCAGATTACTTACATGATAGCAAATTAGCCATCAACTAGTTCTACCAGCGATAATGGCCAAAGGACAGGCTGTTTAGTGTAAACCTTTGCTTTTCATGAACCACTGCTCTCTAATTGGGTCATACATCATTCTTGCCAAAGGCTGAAAAGATGTTCTGGCAATTTGCTGTCCCTTCAGCTTTAGGCAATGCTTCTGTTCGTCTGCAATCATCGAAAGCTTGTTGATGCAAACCGTTTTCAGGACTGTCACAGCTCTGTGAGGGTTGCCAAGCAACCTGCCACAGTGAGTGGCCAGCCCCAGCTCCAGCCGATTTAACCTCCTTAGACAGACAGTGGGCTTAGGACCAGCACTCCTTGATCTGATCATCGTTACAGTGGCCGAGAGAGGAAAGGAGCGAGCCGGTGCTAAGTCCTCAGCAGGCCCTGTGCAGGGTATTTTCTATGCACTGATACCCTTTTTAATCCTCAGAGTGATTCAATAAGGTCAGAAGTAATGTCTCAATTTAGAGAGAAGAAATCAAAAGGGATTCAAAAGGGATTCGGTAACTCTCTGAAGACTATCTGGAAAGTAAGATTGGAGCCAGTATTCCAGTCCAGAAACAAGTGTCCATTCTTTATCACTCAGAAGAAGAAGACTAGTATCATCAAGTATCATCAAGACCAGTACCAGAGTAAAGAGAAGGGGCAGTGGTTGCAAGGGGTAACTGACACTTCATAAAATAGACACAAAGGTCCTGAGGTAGATGATTAGTTTTAAAAGAGAAGTCGGTAAATATGAGGGGTCTGCTGTTAAAAGGAAAAAAAAATTTTTTTAAATACATCTAAAACTTCGTAAAAAGGGGTTAGGAAATGAACTGGAAACATATTCAAGAGTCTGAGACTGCTAACATTACTCCCCATTCTAGGTCAGATTGTATAATAATTTTATTCTAAATAACATTTCATGAGTGTTTACTATATCCTAGGCACTATTCCAGGCTCTTCAATCCTATTAACTCATCGAATCCTTTAGTAGGTCTATGGGGTATTTGCCAGTTTCATGGCTATTTAGTAGATGAGGAAATTGAGACATCAAAGGGTAAAATGACACAGTTAGGCATCTAAGTTGATTGAATCCAGGCGGTCTGGCACTACAGCCAGTGATCGTCACCGCCACGCTCACTGCCGCCATGCTAGCAAGCACCACCCTCATTCCATCAATGGTAAAGACAAAGACAGAACAGGACCCAATGCTGGCATGCACAATTACAGTGTTTCTGATTAAAATCTTTGAAATGCCATCCTTATAGCTACAATATGCATGAGGTTATGTGGCCTCTCATTTAGATTCCCTGTTGATACACACTTTACTTCAACCCATAGTGGGCAACGCCTTAGTCAGGCCTTTCTCCAGAGCCTTGTCTTCTCTACATCTAAGACTTGCTGCCTGCAAAGACATCCCCACAAGGGTCAGTGCCTTTGGATATATCCTGCCCCAAAGTTGATACAACCACCTCTCTCTCAATTCCTTTAGCACAGGTTTACTACCTGAGTAAGAAGTGTTCTTTTTTTTTTTTTTTCAGTGTATAGATCTGAAAAGGGAAAGCTGTTTTTTTTTTTTTTTAAAGATTTTATTTATTTATTTGAGAGAGAATGAGTGAGAGAAAGCATGAGAGAGGAGAAGGTCAGAGGGAGAAGCAGACTCCCCAAGGAGCTGGGCGCC